GAGCCAAATTTTTTAAACTTAAACTATATAGGTAGGTACATTGTTATTAACTTAATTAGGGTACTCCTAAGGCTTAGAAAGAGCCACACTAAAGGGGCCAAAGAGCTGCATGTGGCTCGCGAGCCGCAGTTTGCCGACCACGGGTCTAACTGAAACAAATAGTACATTTTAAGAAACCTTACATCAAAAATCCTATTATTGAAACAGTTATTTTAATGGAAAAAAAGAGTGTGTGCTAGAGAAAGTTTTAGACTTAGAACAGTAATTTTCCCCCATAGGAATTTAGTTAACAGAACTTAAAAAAAATAGTTAAATATATTGATTTAAAACTTAAATATCTAATTTTGACCACCTCAAGCTTTTGTACTCAAGTAAGGGTTGGCTTCCTCCAGAAGCACGGGTGTGCATTCTTAGCCCCTTTATCAGTCATGGTTAGCGTGAACAAAGCACAAAGCCTCAGACAAAACAGCTGTGGCACAAGGGCCTTTATTTTATTCCCTTAGAACTGAAGCACCAGTTATAGTCCTAAACAATGCAAATCATGTACCTGTAATGGGTAACAGACATGCAGTTCATGTTCATGTGTACAAAAGCCTGTGCTCTAGAAGAAATATTTGTACTGACCTGAATTTTTTAAGGCTGGTTTGACATAGAACGAGCACTAGAGATAGGGTCCAGGTCTGATCCCAATGCTAATATGTAATCCTGGGTGAACCACTCAACATCTGGACTGTCAGGGAAATGGAGACAGGTGAGATTTTGGAGTAGAATTCAGTGTTTGTTTGTTTTTAACTAGGAATATACATCAGTGGCCAAGCTCTACTCTAGACTACTGAATCAGGAGCCTAGGTATTACTCATTTTTTGTGTTGTTTGAAAAAGCTCCTTGGTTAAAATTTATGGAAAGCTTTTTGTAGCCCCCTCAAGATGTATAGTACAAAAGACTATTGTATTTTTGTTCCTAAATTATACAGTAAAATATTTTTAGTTCTATTCATGTCATGAACAGAAATCTTACTTTGAGTTTGACTTTTTAGAACATAACTCAAAACTCTGAAATTGTGATTGGCTTGCTTTTATTTTAGTTTTTGTAGAATTTTTATGAGGTCAGTTGTGTTTAGGGTTGCAGATTAAAGTAGCCACCAGAGGGCTCCAATGAGTTGTAAAGGTTTCATTGAATCTCAGTGTTGAATCCTCTAAATAACCATTTAATGTCAGCAATCCATTTATTTATTGAATTTTTACTTAGGGTTTAAAGGCAGAAAATGAGTCAGTTTGGACTGTCCATTTGCTTTTCTCTCCTTACACATCTCTTAAGAGAACTTTGGATTTCCATCAAAAACCTGTTGTGCTCTAGCCAGTTTGGCTCAGTGGATAGTGTGTCAGCCTGTGTACTGAAGGGTCCTGGGTTCGATTCTGGCCAAGCGCACATGCCCAGGTTGCGAGCTCGATCCTCAGTAGGGGGTGTGCAGGAGGCGGCTGATCAATGATTCCAATCATTGATGTTTCTCTCCCTCTTCCTTACTCTCTGAAATAAATAAAAAAATATATATTTTTAAAAAGAAAAACAATAGTAACAGCAAAAACCTGTTGTGTTAGTAATTCTCCAGAAAGTTCAGTTTCATTTTATATTATTCTTTGATTAGGATTTTAATACAAAACTTACAGTAACAGAAGTAATGTAAGATTGCAGTACTTAATAAGTACTTTGTCAAAGCTAATATGTCAAGGATACCTGATGGCAGTTAGACCATCTAGCATAGATCCCTACTTTAAATCAGTTACTTTGCACATTACATCACTGCTTAGGTGGCAGATAGAACTGGCGATTCAGAGTACCTATAAATAAAGCTTAAAAGCCTGTTTAAGTGTTCGTTTAATTCTAAGTTCTATTTGTTCCCTTTATTTTTTTATTTTATTTTATTTTTTTTAATATATTTTATTGATTTTTTACAGAGAGGAAGAGAGAGAGATAGAGAGTTAGAAACATCGATGAGAGAGAAACATCGATCAGCTGCACACCCCCTACTGGGGATGTGCCCGCAACCCAGGTACATGCCCTTGATCGGAATCGAACCAGGGACCTTTTAGTCCGCAGGCTGACGCTCTATGCACTGAGCCAAACCGGTTTCGGCTATTTGTTCCCTTTAATAAAAGCTAAAGTTTGCTGGGCTAGATGAATTTGTTAGTTGCACTTATTAGAATTTGAAAGGGAAGAGCCAGCTGGGCCCTTTGAGTCTTACAAGCAACTGTTAGAACAAGGCATCTGTGCTTAGGCTGAGAATTTCTCCCCTTTATTACCAGTGTATTCACATTAAAACATTATTGTTACTGTTTGCAACTATTTGGGGGGAAATTTCTGACTTAAAAATTTCTCAGCCATCATAGAATACTACATTCCAGGGCTACACATATATTGGATATGCTGGGTCTCTGCTGGGAAAGGTGGAAGAGGAATCTCAACAATGAGACTCTTCCAGAGGACCACAGTCTAAGCACCAAGATACTTCGGGTGTAAAAAGCCTAGTTGGTTCTCCATTATAATATAACCATTACACATTGAGATCTGTGTATCAAGGCATGTCCCCTGAGACATTATATAGAGCAACATGTGTAATATGTAAGGTGGAAATTAAAGCTATTCTCTAAAGCAAAGTTTGTGGGAGAAATGTGAGGACATAATGTTGCATGTACTGTCTCTTCCCTGTTGCAGGTTGAGTTGTGTTTAGAGTGCATCGAATGGGCCAAATCAGAGAAAAGAACATTCTTACGCCAAGCTTTGGAGGTATGTGCCTACATTAGTACTGTTTTTAGGTCTCTATGCATTAGTCAGACTATGAGTGTAAGTAATACCACCTTGATAAAAGTATTTTCTGCAACTTTGTGTTATCTAGGCACACAAAGATTATTGCTAGTAGTCTCACTCATGAGAATTGCTCTGGTTGAAGTTTTATGACAGACCTGCTAACTTAGAGAAGTAAGCTGTAACATTGTAAAGTTAATAGTCACTGCCCATAGTAAGAGATAATACTGTCGGCTAGATAAATATTTTTGGACTGAATTTAATGCTATCATCAGGACTTGAATATTTAACAGTAACAGTTCTGTGACTATCAATCTTTGATTTCTTTCTTTCATCAGTCAATGCCTTTTCTCTTTTCTAGGCAAGACTAGTGTCTTTGTACTTTGATACCAAGAGGTACCAGGAAGCATTGCATTTGGGTAAGTAGCTGGTAGTAATTAATAAGGACTCCTAGCTGGCTTAGCCAAATGAATGTATTTTAGAGCCTGACTACTGTTATTAGCTATGCATTAATAATTCTTCTTCTAAGAAGGCTTAACTTTTTTTAAAAAAGATGTCCTTTAATGGGCTTATCAATAGACTAGATACAACAAAGGAAATAATCAGTAAGTCTAAAGAAACTCTTCCAATATTTCTAATGCCAAAATCCATATTCTTTCCCTTACAATATTATTTTAATATATTTTGTTGATTTTTTTACAGAGAAGAAGGGTGAGGGATAGAGAGTTAGAAACATCAATGAGAGAGAAAGATCGATCAGCTGCCTCCTGCACACTCCCCACTAGGTATGTGCCTGCAACCAAGGTACATGCCCCTGACCGGAATCGAACCCAGGACCCCTGAGTCTGCAGGCTGACACTCTATCCACTGAGCCAAATCGGTCAGGGCTTAACCTTCTTTATTTACTGAATCTGTCATGGAAAAATGCCATTTGGAAGTTCTAAGAAACTAACTAGAACTAATTTTTTAAATTTAGAGAATAGAAAGGTCAAATTACAAAGTGTTTTACTGTCTTATCACATTTACACATCTATTTTTTTAATATATTTTATTGATTTTCCACAGAGAGGAAGGGAGAGAGATAGAGAGTCAGAAACAGCGATGAGAGAGAAACATCGACCAGCCGCCTCCTGCACATCTCCCACTGGAGATGTGCCCGCAACCCAGGCATATGCCCCTGACCGGAATCGAACCTGGGACCCCTCAGTCTGCAGGCTGACTCTCTATCCACTGAGCCAAACGGTCTCGACTACACATCTATTTATAATTATACTTAAACTCTATTTTTAAAAATAAATTATAAAAACGTTTAAAAAAGAAATTGATTAGATGTGAACATATATAGAAGTTGTAATGGGCCATCTAAAGGCTTTCTCCTGTGTGGTATTTAAACACCCTGAAATCTTTGCCTGCTGCTGTGTTGTTTTTTTTAAATTAATAGGTAGGTCCTGGATTATTTTTCCCATTTGGAAGACCATGGCTTTTGTAATCTATTAAGTTGAAGAAATTGCTAATATTCAATTTTTATCCTTCAAAAATGACAATTTCATATGGTTCTAACAAATAGTAGCATGTAAAAAAAAAGTTTTATTGCAATATAGTTAACAGACCATAAAATTCATCCTTTAAAAGTGTACAAACCATGCCCTGGCTGGTTTGGCTAGGCAGATAGAGCATTGGCCTGCAGACTCATGGGTCCTAGGTTCGATTCCGGTCAAGGGCATGTACCTTGGTTGCGGGCACATCCCCAGTGGGGAGTGTGCAGGAGGCAGCTGATCGATGTTCCTCTCTCATCGATGTTTCTGGCTCTCTATCCCTCTCCCTTCCTCTCTGTAAAAAATCAATAAAATATATATATATTTTAAAAAGTGTACAAACCAGTGATTTTTAGTATATTCACAAAGTTTTGCAACCTTTAAACCACTATCTGATTTCTGGACATTTTTATTACCCCAGATATAAATCTTGGACTCATTAGTTATCACTTCCCATTAATCCCTGATCCATCACCTCCCCCACTCACCAGGCAGTCACTAATCTATTTTCTGCCTTTGTAGATTTGCCTGTTCTGGACATCCTTTATAATACAAGGGTAATATGCAAATTGACCATAACGGCAGTACGACTGGTTGCTATTACTTGCACTGACCACCAGGGGGTAGACACTCAACTCAGGAGCTGCCCCCTGGTGGTCAGTGTGCTCTCATAAAGGGAGCGCCGCTCAGCCAGAAGCCAGGCTCACGGGTGGCAAACGCAGTGGCAGTGGCAGGAGCCTTTCCCACTTCCTCTGCAGCACTAAGGATGTCCGACTGCGGCTTAGGGGACTGGGCCTAAGCCGCAGTCAGACATCCCTCAAGGGCTCCCGGGCTGCCAGAGGGATGTCCGACTGTCAGCTTAGGCCCAATACCCTGGGGAGTGGGCTTAAGCTTGCAGGTGGACATCCCCCAAGGGGTCCCAGACTGCGAGAGGGTGCAGTCCAGGCCGAGGGACCCCCCCTCCCCATGATCATGAATTTTTGTGCATCGGGTCTCTCGTTTCATATAAATGGAATTATATAATATATGGTATTTGTGATTATCTTCTTTCACTTAGGATAATGTTTTCAAGGTTCATCCATATTATAGCATATGGCAGCCCTTCATTCCCTCTTTAAAAAATATACTTTTATTTTTTTAAATATATTTTTATTGATTTCAAAGAGGAAAGGAGAGGGAAAGAAACATCAATGAGAGAGAATCATTGATCGGCTGCCTCCTGTACACTCCTTCCCCCCCAGGAATTGAGCCCACAACCTGGGCATGTGCCCTTGACTGGAATGGAACCTGGGACCCTTCAGTCGCAAGGCCAATGCTCTATCCACTGAGCCAAACCAGCTAGGCTGTCTTTTTTATTTTAGCCATCTAGTGGGTGTGATGTGGTATCTCATTGTGGTTTTGATTTGCATTTCCCTAATGACTAATAATGTTAAGCATTTTTTCATGTACTTATTGGCCATTTGTATGTTTTGAAGAAATGTCGATTCAAATCCTTTGCTATTTTTTAATTGGATTATTTGTGTTTTTATTATTCTGGATACCAGTCCCTTACCAGATAAATGATTTGCAGATATTTTTTTCCCACCCCATGAGTTGTTTTTTCACTTTCTTGGTTTTCTTTGAAGCACAATTTAATTTGGATTAAATCCCATTTTTCTTTTGTTACTTACGATTTTGGTGTCATTGCTAAGAGATCATTGTCTAATCCAAGATCACAACGATTTTACTCCTATATTTTATAGGTTTAGCTCTTACATTTAGGTCTTTGACTCGTTTTGATTTAATTTTTGTGTCTGATGCAAGTCTGTTTGGATTTGATTTTTCACATCTGAGATGGGGAAGAAGGTAAGGTGTGTTTGGAGAACATTGGTGTATCCAGAACTCTTTCCTTCTTCCACGAACCCTCGTGCCTGGTATTTTTTGTGTAGTCTGTGACTGCTGGACAGAAAGAGTGAGTGAGATCATTGGATAACTAGTTTCAGCGTTTTCTGGGTGGAGATTTCAAAATTTAGAAGTAAGCTCATAGAGCTCTTGGCTCTAACGTTCTCCTTAGAATACAGAAAGTTTCCAAGAGATTTGTGTTTCTCTTTTGGAAGAAAGCACATTTAACAGAAAATTTAATTCTTGTAAACAGGTAAACCTCTTTTTGGGTTCAGGCAGGTTTCTGGTTTCTTTATCCTGAGTGTTCTTATGAGGGTGGGAGAGGGTGATACTATGGGATGAAGATACTAAGATTATGGCTTAGAAAGGGGCATAATATTTTTCCCCCCCAGGTTCTCAGCTGTTGCGGGAGTTGAAAAAGATGGATGACAAAGCCCTTTTGGTGGAAGTACAGCTTTTAGAAAGCAAAACATACCATGCCCTCAGCAACTTGCCGAAAGCCCGAGCTGCCTTAACCTCTGCTCGAACCACAGCAAATGCCATCTACTGCCCCCCTAAATTGCAGGCCACGTTGGATATGCAGTCAGGTAATACCTGTAGCTACTCATGGGATTTTTTTCTTAAAACTCATCTTATTTCACAGGTGGAAGGAATGGGGGATTGGGACTGGGGAATAAAATTGGCTGATTTGGCTTGAGCCTTCTACAGAGAAACCAGTTAGAAGGTTTTCTCTAACTAGCTGCCCCCTTCTATTAACTTGCTATTAACTGCCTAAAATATATTAATAACATGTTTATCCATGGTTGCCCAGGCAACCTGAGTTTTAGAGCCAAGACCTTAGAGAGCTCTCACTTAGGTTTAAAAAGCTCCCTTAATTTCCTTCTTTGTCACTACTCAGGCTGGTGGCAGCTCTTTCTAACATTGATTAACCCAAGTCTGTTGTCACTTGGAGATCTTTGTAAAGCATGTTGGGCTTTTCCAAGTGGCCTCAGAACAGGGCTAAGAAAAGACACCCCCACTCCCAAATTTCAGTTGAGTTTAGTGGATAGCTTTCTGATGGAGTGTGTGAATGTTGGGGCTAGGAGGCAATGGGCAGTAGAATACTTGAAGTCAGCAGCTTTTATTAGTTATACTTTATTATTACTGAAGGAGCACTGGAATTAAAGGCAGAAGGCTAGTTTAAGCCCTTATTTTTCTGTAGTCTTAATTTCCATGTCTGTAACAGAGAGAATACCTGCCCTACTTGCCTCTTGAGTATTTTGAGTATCAAATGGCATGTTTTGTCATTCAGAGGTTAAGAGCAATAGCTCTAGAAACCGACTTTTCTAGGTTGACATTTTAGTTCTGCCAAATTCTAGTTAGTTAATTTATCTTTGGGCAAGTTACGTAATTTATCTGTAACTCATCTGTAAATTGTACCTCTTCATAGGATTGTGGTGAGGATTAAATTATGATGAATGTAGTTTTTCTCATAGTACCTAGCCTTGACCAATTTGGCACTTTCTTTAAACCCCTGCTCTTTTATTATGCCCTTCCTTCATGGTCAAGACATGAACTTGCACCTGATTTCTCAGAGGAAATGGAGACCATTTTTATGTAAACCCTCTTGTTTTTCCTCGCCAGAATTTTTTTTTAAATATATTTTTATTGATTTTTTACAGAGAGAAAGGGAGAGAGAGAGTCAGAAACATTGATGAGAGAGAAACATCGATTAGCTGCCTTCTGTACATCCCCCACTGGGGATGTGTCCGCAACCCAGGTACATGCCCTTGACTGGAATCGAACCCGGGACCCCTCAGTCCACAGGCCGACGCTCCATCCATTGAGCCAAACTGGTTTCGGCCCTTGCCAGAATTTAAGTCACTAAACATTTGTAACCTTTATCAAGAATGATTCTTCTACTTGTCCTTTTGTTCCATTCTAAGTCTGTAGTCTTTCTTCTCCATGTGGCTCTGCATCTCAGTCTTTGAACCATTCCAGCTGAAAAAACACCGTCCTTGCTCCTTTTTAAATTGCTGTCCTCTCCTTTGCTTGGCAAGCTTCTTGAAAGTGTTGAAAGACTATCCTTATTTTCTTATCTCTCTTGACTCCTCTGATGGGGAAGGGGGGTGGTGTGCAGGGGCATGGTGGAGATTTTGACCCTGTTGAATTCTCTATGTTTCTTTTTCTTCTTTCCTTTCTTTCTCTTTTTTTGGCTAATCCTCACCCAAGGATATTTTTTCTATTGATTTTTAGAGAGAGAGTGAAAGGGATGGGAGGAGGGAGGAAGGGTGGGTAGATGGTTGAGAGAGAGAGAGAGAGAGAGAGAGAGCGTGGGTAGATGGTTGAGAGAGAGAGAGAGAGATGCATTTATGTGAAGCACATGGATTGTTTGCCTCCCGGACACGCCCTAACCGGGGCCAAGGATCAAACCTGCAATCCAGGGCTGTGCCCTGGACTGGAAATTGAACCGTTGACCCTTTAGTGTGTGAGCCTGCACTCCAATCGCTGAGCCACTTGGCCAGGGCAAGGCTTCTTTGACATCACTGTCTTTTTGGTTCTCCCTTGAATAATTATCCTTGGTCACACTTTGCTGAGTTCCTCAGTGTTGTTTTCTCAGTTCTTTTTCTTTTCTTGTTCTCCCTGTTTCCTGTCTAATCCCATGTTTTCCCCTGCTTTAGTTGCCATATAACACTGATGGTCTCCTCATCTGAATCCCCAGTAACTTCCTCCTAAATTCCAGATCCAGCTTTTCAGCTGCATAATGGACATACATACTATATCTCAATCTCAACATGTTGAAAACCAAAGTTATTTAACCCCTCCCCCTCAAACTGTTCTTTTCTGCCTCTCCTATTTTAGTTAGTGGCATCATCATTGACTTAGTTGCTCAAGCTGTTGTCTTTGGAGTAATTTTGACCCCTTCCTCTCCTTCACCCCTCATGTCCATACTCAGTTGCCAGATCAGGTTGAGTCTGTCTCCACATCAGCCCTTCCTTTCCATCTACATTCACTGCTCTAACTGATGCCTAGGCCACTGGAGTCTTGTACTGTTCTAACTGTCCCTAGTCACTTTTCTCAGTCCATCTTTCTTACTGGTCCAAAGTCATTTTTCTGAAACATGAATCTGATCATGCAACTTCTTTGTTTAAAATTTTCAGTAGTTCCCTGTAATCTCCAGGCTAAATTATACTTTAACCAAAGGAAGGCATCCTGCCCTGATCGGGTGGCTCAGTTGGTTGGAGTGTTGTCCCATACACCAAAAGGTTGTGGGTTTGATCCCCACTTGGGGTGAGTACGGAAGGCAACTGATATATGTTTCTCTCTCCCCATCTCTCTCTAAAATCAGTAAACTGTATTCTTGGGTGAGGATTAAAAAAAAGGAAGGCATCCTTCTCATTATCACCTTTGGTTTTCATTCCTGTTCATCAAATGACTTCATGTGCTTCTGCTTCTGGGCCTTTATATATTTTGTCAACTCTGCTTCAAAATTCTCCTTTTCATCTTGTCCCTATGGCAAACTCCTTTGCATCCTTCTAGATCCAGGTTAGATGTCTTCTCTATAAATCCTCTCCAGTAAGTCTTCTTTGCTTCAGACTTCCCTATGAAAGCTATATCTTTGTACATGTTAAGGTACTAATCTTGTTTCTGTTTTGGTGACCATCTTTCCCACTGTGAGACTGAGCTCCTTGAGGACCTCATTTGTATTTATTTCCTCCGTAGTAGCTATATCAGTGCTTGGCACAGGGGAAGCTCTCATTAGTATTTGTGTTGAATGAGTGCCAGTCTAGTTCAGGGGTCCTCAAACTACGGCCCGCGGGCCACATGCAAATACAAATATTGTATTTGTTCCCGTTTTGTTTTTTTACTTCAAAATAAGATATGTGCAGTGTGCATAGGAATTTGTTCATAGTTTTTTTTTAAAATATATTTTATTGATTTTTTACAGAGAGGAAGGGAGAGAGATAGTTAGAAATATAGATGAGAGAGAAACATCGACCAGCTGCCTCCTGCACACCTCCCACTGGGGATGTGCCCGCAACCCAGGTACATGCCCTTCACAGGAATCGAACCTGGGACCCTTCAGTCCGCAGGCCGACGCTCTATCCACTGAGCCAAACCGGTCTTGGCTGGTCTAGTTCTTTTTAAACAATACAGTGCACCTCACACCAACCATGATGCTCATAGTCCTAATGTCCTAATGTGGCTCCTATTTACTAATGAGTTTGGGAAAACCATATACTATCTTGGGGTGGGGGCGTATTTTACTTGTTTTTTTCTGACTAGTCTTAGTTTGGGTCTGGTCTGTTCTCTCTAGCTCTGCACTGGGAGGTATGGGAAAACGGAGATTTGTCTTACCTAGTTTTAGCAGGGTTAATAGTTTGTTGGCTATTCTTTAGGGAGCTCTCCTTGGCTGCAGAGAAGGGGGGTTTCTCCAGGCCTCTGTGTTTAAGAATAGTAGAAGGAGGATCTGATTCCTTCAGCTTCAGAGGGGAAGGCTTTTTGGGTAGGGTAAAGTGCTGGGGAAGTTCCCGGCTGGGGTGCCAGACACACAGGTATGTAACAGGTAGGCTAGAAGTGTGCTGAAACATTGAGATCTTGGGGTCACATGTGAGTAGTTTCATCTTTTTACTCCAGCATGCTGAATACTCTCTACTACATGTACCTTGATTTGAAGAATGTTGGAAAGCCCTGTGGTAAATAAATGGATGGGGCAGAGGCAGAGTTAGAACTGTATATAGACTCTTAGGACTTAGGTGCTCCCAAGCTAAGAAGTACTAATTTTCATATTATGCCAGGTCATGGCATAGGTTGGAAATAGTAACAGATTCAGTCAAAGTTAGGCGCATTGGGAGCAACCCAACCTCTAAGAAGTAGAGAATTAGATGAATGTGATATGTCAGTCTAAATAAATACTGTTTGTGTGCATTTAAGTTCATGGATTTGGCATTATGTGAAATCTATGTACTGTTGCAACTCACAACTGGGCTAAAGTACATCCATAAATGAGAAATATTTCAAATGAGGATATAAGAGATTGGATTTTTTTTCTCCCCCATGAAAGCTGCTTACATATAAAAATGTCAAGCTTAGAAAAGCTATCTTAATGAAATGGTTAACATTATTAAAATCAGTCATTCGGGCAGTGCAGGGATGTTTGGGTCAACTTCCTGACTTATGAAAGTGATGTAATGGAGGATGTCCTTTCCTAGTGGCTGCAAAAGATAGGACTGCATGCAGTAAGGGTGAGAAGCATGGAGAAGATGTTAGAGTTTGCAGGCTTTAGGATCTTCTTTCAGTTGGGTCTTAACTCCTTTAGAATTTATATTAGCAAGATGGCATTGAACTGGGAAGCCAAAGAAAGACATGGGTTCTAATCCCAGCTTTGCCATTAGCTGATCATGACTTTGGACAGGTCCTTTATCCTTTCCTGACCTCAGGGATAAGTGGATGGGGTTGGGATAGGTTTCTGAGGCCCTTCCCAGCTCTGATCTTGTGTGGTTCTCATGTGGTTCTTCCACCTTTCTTTCCAATGCTTAGGTATTATTCACGCAGCAGAGGAGAAGGACTGGAAAACTGCATACTCATATTTCTATGAGGCATTTGAGGGTTATGACTCCATTGATAGCCCCAAGGCAATCACCTCTCTGAAGTACATGTTGTTGTGCAAAATCATGCTCAACAGGTAGGTGCACATTAATTAACTCTGGGATTTGAGAATTCAGATTTTTAACTGAGTTTTCTGCTGTGTCAGAGATGGCTTGGCAGGGACTGCACAGTCACAGAAGCTACAGCAGCTGCCTCTTGGGCTAGTGGAAGTAGATGGGAAGCTTCCTTGGAGTATCCTGCAATTATTCTTTCCAAAGAGTAATAATTGGACAGAGGGCCAGAAAATAACTTACAGACCAACAGGGGATAGATTAAGGAAGCGGTTAGGGAGAGGTTTGAAAAAGGGGACAACAGAAAGTATGACAGATCTTTATAAAGAATAATACATAATTTATCTATATTTTGGGGTGGTAAATGAGATATTTACTGGGATTCTTTTTGGATCTTCTTTATTTTATAAAGATATTTTTATTGATTTCAGAGGAGTGGAGAGGGAGGGAGAGAGAGAGAGATAGAAACATCAATGATGAATCATTAATTGGCTGCCTCCTGCACACTCCCTATTGGGGATCAAGCCCACAACCAGGCATGTGCCCTGACTGGGAATCGAACCTTGACCTTCTGGTTCATAGGTTGACATTCAACCACTGAGCCATGCTGGGCCGGTGTTTTGGATCTTATGTTGGGTTGACTTACACTTATTATTCTGCCTGTTGATTCTATTACTTTTGGTAGGTTCATTGTGGCTTTCTTTTTAATGCTGGAGTTTTTCTGCTCTTCACTGTTGATTTTTGTCCCAGAGTGTAGGAATTCAGACTGGCTTCTGCAGTGTGAGGGGCATATGGGTTTAGGGGTAGGGCTGATTCTCAGTAGAATTCTGAGAAAAAGAAATTTGCCTAAGCCTGTACTTACAAGCATAATGTTCTGGAGCAATTGACCAAGTATGTCTTTTTTTCTAGCCCAGAAGATGTCCAGGCTCTGGTGAGCGGGAAGCTTGCACTGCGGTATGCGGGGAGGCAGGTAGGGGTCACCACGACTGCGGTTCTGATCTCTGAGGCCAGCATATTGTGTCAGGCATGATGCTTGGTGAGACTCGTGCTCTTCAAGTCTCCATTCTACATTTTTATCCCCCCCCCACCCCTTTTCCTTAAGCCCATTCAGTATATTTCTTGTGCTTTTAAATTTGTGATCTAAAAAGTCAGTATTTGGTGCTCTTATGGACATCAGATGGTTTGAAGGAGTGAATTTTAGCATTTGTATTGAGTGAGGTTGCATTTAGCATTGACCAGGAAATTTATCTGAGCCTGACTTGCAAATTTGACATGTGCAGAATATGAAATCTTGAATTCTCCTAGTGGAAGCCCAGTAAGGCCTGGTGCACATGTATGTGCTTTAAGGAGATCAGGTTGCTTGGTGCAGAAACTAGGTTTTTTCTTTTCTTTTTTTTTTTTTTAAATATATCTTACTGATTTTTTACAGAGAGGAAGGGAGAGGGATAGAGAGTTGGAAACATTGATGAGAGAGAAACATCGATCAGTTGCCTCCTGCACACTCCCCACTGGGTATGTGCCCGCAACCAAAGTACATGCCCTTGACCGGAATCGAACCTGGGACCCCTGAGTCCACAGGCCGACGCTCTATCCACTGAGCCAAACTGGTCAGGGCAGAAACTAGGTTTTGATGACTCACCTGAGTGCTGCTTATATTAGCACTTTGCACTCATGTCCTGAGTTTTGGATGTGGTGCAAGAAGAGTTCTTTTTTTCTAAAAGATGTATTGATTTCAGAGAGGAAGGGTGAGGGAGAGATAGAAACATCAATGATGAGAGAGAATCATTCATTGGTCAGCTGCCTCCTGCACACCCCTACTGGGTATCAAGCCTGCAACCCAGGCATGTGCCCTGACCGGGAATTGAACCGTTATCTCTGGTTCACGGGTAGACGCTTAACCACCAAGCCACACTGGTTGGGCCAGTAGATCTTTTTGTGGTACCTTTTGTGCCTATACAGCTATGAGTGTGACCTGTGTAAAGATGACGTCTCAGATGTCTTCACGATCTCTTTTTTGTATTTTGTTTAAATATCATTACTGAAGTAAAAGTAATCTTTGTAGATTCAAAGATTTGTCTCTAAACAACAGGCACATTGGCTATCTCACTGTATCTTTTTTTTTTTTTAATATATTTCTTTATTGATTTCAGAGAGGAAGGGAGGAGAGAGAGATAGAAACATCAATGATGAGAGAGAATCATTGATCGGCTGCCTCCTGCACACCCCGCACCGGGGATGGAGCCCACAACCCAGGCATATGCCCTTGGCCGGAACCGAACCCAGGACCCCTCAGTCCGCAGGCTGACGCTCTATCCACTGAGCCAAACCGGCTAGGGCATCACTGTATCTTTAGAGGAATGGCCACAAGATGATTTCTTCCTTCTCTAAAAGTGGCCCTAATTGGCTTTTTATCAGTAAAAGTTTCAGATCAGCTTCTAATTTTGACCAAAAGAATACTGGTTATTGCTAAAGTGAATACTTGTTATTATCTAGAAGTAGAGTTGAGGAGATGGGCTAAGAGAGATCAGGTGTCCAGAACAAGATCAGGTAAACTAACTGGTAATGGTGGAGCCAGACTTTGAACTTGGGTTATCTTGGCTCTAAGTTCCAGGCTTTTCTCATTATGACATTTCTTCTGTCTATAGGACAAATGCTGAGAACACTTTGCACTATTTTTAAAAAATATAATTTTTACTGATTTTTTTTAAAAAATATATTTTATTGGTTTTTTACAGAGAGGAAGAGAGAGAGATAGAGAGTCAGAAACATCGACGAGAGAGAAACATCGATCAGCTGCCTCCTGCACATACCCCACTGGGGAAGTGCCCACAACCCAGGTACATGCCCTTGACCGGAATCGAACCTGGGACCCTTCAGTCCGCAGGCCGACGCTCTATCCACTGAGCCAAACCAGTTTCGGCAATTTTTACTGATTTTTAGAGGGAAGAAGGAGAAAGAGAAAAATTGATCTGCTGCCTCGGGTTGAGCCTGCAATCCGAGCATGTACCTTGACCGGGAAGGTTCATGGGGTGACACCCAGCCAACTGAGCCACAGGGACCAGGGCCTTGGCTCTATTTTTAAAGCCTGCTATATAAGACACACCATCCTTATTTAAGTACATAGGCTGGTACAGGAGGAGCGCCTGGTCCTGTGTACCTTAATGGCAGGTGCCTTTTCTAACTGGGTTAGAAGGTGCCCTGAACCATTGATTGTACCTTCATAACTCCGGGGTTTTAACGTGCAGTGTAATATGTAAAATCATGATGCCTCAACCCTAATGAAAGTAGACCTTGGTCTGCACACTGTAATAAACCTAGCAGAATGAATCTTCATGAAGCACAGGTCTTATCAGGTGGGAAGGAAGGAATCAGGGGAGTTGCAGGGATAGGGAGTCTTGGAAAGAAATCAGTTCTCTGGTCATTTTCCCTTTTAACATGTCATCTTCAGAGAATGTTGTGTCAGGGTTTTTTTTTTTGCGGGGGCAGGGGGGAACTAGCTGTTTTCTAGTATTTTTAATTTATTTCAGATTTCAAAGGGAAACTGGCTGGCACACAGTGGCATTCTTTTTGTTTTCCTTCCTGATTTTCCCAAGGTGTTTATTCAGGCAGACCAGGGGACAGGGAGGCCCTACATCTAAAAGGTGTTGGAGTCCTGGCCGATTTTGTTCAGTGGTTGGAGCATTGAAGGGTCTTGGGTTTGATTCCTGGTCAAGAGCACGTACCTGGGTTGCAGACTCAATCTCCGGCCCTGGTCGGGCGCATGTAGAAGGCAATGTAGCATTTGTATTGAGTTAGGTTGCATTTAGCATTGACCAGAAAATTTATCTGAGCCTGACTTGCAAATTTGACATGTGCAGAATATGAAATCTTGAATTCTCCTAGTTGAAGCCCAGTAAGTCCTGGTGCACATGTCAATGTTTCTCTTTTTCTCTCCTCCTCCCTTCCTTCATTCCATTCTCTCTAAAAATCAATGGAAAAAATATCCTCAGATGAGGATTAACAAAAAAAAAAAGGTGTTGGGCGTTTTGGTGGTGAAGTGTGCTAGTGCTAGTGATGAAGGACCGGGGGGAGGGGGCCAGTAGGAACTTGATCTTGGAACTTGGTCTTGGAACTGCTTAACTGCCATGCCAGTTGGCGGCACTTGTTGACCGAGATCTCCTCCACCTTTATGATCTGGATTGAGTGAGCACAGGCATGGTGCTGGGCCCCCATGTCTCAGTCTGCGGGGAACAGGAAGGGCCAGGTCCATGGGTCTCTGGGTGTTCCCCCAGATCTCATCAGGTGCCTGCTTTGGGGACCCCAGTCTCTGGCCACCATGAGTGTAGAACCTCCCCATTCACTTTGCAGGCACAGCCACAGTTCTCTCAGTGGTCTTATTGCAGCTTTTCTTCCCAGGCCTCAGGAACAGTTGTGGGCCTGCTTCTTCCCTGCCACCAGAAGTTGTTGGGACGCAGCATACTGCTTATGAGACTTGTTTGTGGGATGTGGGTGTGCAGAACAGATCACTTTCACTACTTTTCTCTTTATTTTTAGACAGAAGCATTAAAATGTGTGGCCCAGGCTAGCAAGAACAGGTCACTCGCAGATTTTGAAAAGGTAAGCATGGTGTTGGGTTGGTAGGGAATGGGTGGAAAAGAGGGGCATTTAAGTACTTTTTAAAAACATACACTATGTTAAAATAACTATTGTTTCATAAGAAGTTGCAAAGATAGTACAGAATTATTCCTTACTTGAGGCCCAGTGCACGGATTCATGCACTGGTGGGGTCCCTCGGCCTGATCTTCTGGGATCAGTGGATCTCTGCACCACTGCAGCCCGGCCTTACCTGCCATCTCAACGGGCTCCAGTCTGCTGTCCGCATCAACCCCGCACAGCATGAAGTAGTGCGCAATGTGGCAGGCGGCCGGGGAGGAGCCCGAGCCCCGGCTGGGCACTGCGCCGCTCCCGCTTATCCCAACCCTGCTGTGCCTGCTACCGCTGCAGCTCAGGCGCGCAAGGGGGATTGTCTGAGGGAGAGGCCCCTGAGCCCGGCGTCTCGCGCCCTTCTGTCAGCTGGGCGGTGCTCCTGCATTGAGCGTCTGCCCCCTCGTGGTCAGTGCGTGCCATAGCTACCGGCCGGCTGTCTGGTCACTTAGGCTTTTATATATATACTAGAGGCCCGGTGCACAAAAATTTGTGCACTCCGGGGGGGAGGGGGGGGCCCTCAGCCCGGCCTGGGC